CATATATATGGCATTTTGAGTAGATTTTTAAAGAATTGTCACATGCATGTGTCTATCTTGACTTGATTTCAAGAATTCATGATATTTCTTACCATTTGACCTTAATTAATCATGTTTTGGAACACCTTAGCTCAAAGTAATTCATGCATATCATGTTCATGGCATATTCATAAATTACAAGTTGGAGTTTTGATCAATTAACATGCTTTTGGGCCTTGATTTAGTGAAATGATCTTTAAGCCATGGTATTTTACAAGTTTCTAAATGTGTTCTGGAGTTTTGGCCCAGAAAGATGAGTTTTAAGGTGTGTAATTCGAGTTTGGAGCCTGGGAGTGCAATCTGGAAATTCCAGATTCTACATTTCTGCTCGAGCGGCAGAAGTTGCGCTTGAGCGACCACTCTGTGATCTTACACTTCCACTCGAGTGACCAGAAGTCTGCTTGAATGTGAAATGCGAGCTCCTAGAAGTTTCATGTGTTTTGCAGACCGCTTGAACGACAAGTGACAAGAGTTGCGCTCGAACGAGGACCTGAGTCTCACACTCAAGCGACTGTCGAGCGTGAAAATCACACAAGTAGTACTTTTTCAAAATTTTCATATTACTTGAGTGAAGGAAGTTGCGCTCGCGCAGCCCCTCACATGTTTGCATGTCCACTCAAGCGAAGAAAGTTGCGCTCGAGCGAGACTCCTATTTTCAGCAAATTCTGTTATGGGTTCCAAAGAGCCTTTTGGCATCCACATTGCATCCTAGGCATTCCTAGGCTATGATTAAGACTCAATAAGAGGTTAAGACTTAGAAACACACTAAGAATGAAACGAAAGAAATTAAGTACCAACCGAGTGTGTGTTTCATTATGTGTTTCTGTTATGTGTGTGTAGGCCACGCGCCATAAGTTATCTGATTTTGTCTGTTCTACAAGTGGAGCCACCTGTGAGTAATAACTTTGCAAAGTTATCTTTACGTCTAAGTAGTTTCTTATATGATATGATATGACAAGAAATGCTCTGTTTTATGAAATGTAATATTCTGCCCAATGAATGATTGTTTAATTTCTGACAAGTATTCGTAGCATCCTTAGCACAAGCCCCTTGCCCGGAGGTAACAATACCGTGGTTTATAAGCAAGGCCCTTGCCCGAGGGTAATAATACCATGGTCTCATGGCCCTTGCCTGGAGGCAACAATACCGTGGCTCAAGTATATTACAAGTTCCCGGTACTGGAGGTTCCTTATGGAACTAACAAGCATGATAACGTCGTTGGATGTACCATGTATGATGAAGCATGAACTTTAATTTCTGTATGAAGTTGAACATGAAAATGAATATAAATCTATTTTTTTTTATGAACTATGGTTTCCGATTTTGTTATGGACATCATTCATTTAACGCCTTTACTTTGTTATTATTCACTAGGCTTCCACTCATTATTTGTATTATGTGTCACACCCTCAAAATAATACATAAATCCAACATCTAACAGTTCTATATACATGAAAAATAGATCACTTTCCCATACATACATCAGAGTTAATATTACAAAAGAGGATTTTACATAAGTAACAAATGTTTACAACAATAATAGAATGTCCTGCGAGCTTACATCTTTCCAAGTTGTTACATGGTTACACAAAAGAAGAGTTTTAACTCTTTTACAAGTAAAGCCCTTGGCTTGCATTTACATGTAATCAATAAAACAAATAGCAAAGTAGAGTCTTCAACTCCGAAAACTTCCTAAGCAAAGATCTTGAACTTGACACGTCTCATGTACCTGAAAATGGTGTCCCAAGTAGGGTGAGCCAAAGCCCAGTAGAGATATACTAAACCCAATATGAGAAATAACTAAAACATTATCATTCGACAAATGATTAACACGTGTAGACCAATTCGCATCCTTCTCATCACCCGACAACAATTTCATCCATGCTACCATCCACTTCCCTTATTTATCCAATTTAATTCCTCAGTATGGTTCATTGTCTAACCTAACATTTTAGGTGAGTCTATAGCTCGACTCATGAATACTTCAATTGACAACTTTATTCATGCACTTCAATTTATAAGGTTTCGGGACTTTCACCCCGGACACTCCGATCGGCTTAATTATCTATGGAGCCTATCCCCTACCTCCTCCCGAACAAAGGTACTTAAATAATGTGTTAAAGTATATAAGCACATATGGAGTACATTCCCTATCTCCTCCTAAACAAAGATACATAAATAATGCGTTAAAGTATATGAACACATATGGAGTATATCCCCTATCTCCTCTCAAACAAAGATACATAAATAATGTGTTAAAGTATATGAACACCTATGTAGTACATCCCCTATCTGCTCCCAAACAAAGATACATAAACAATGTGTTAAAGTATATGAACACATATGGAGTACATCTCCTATCTCCTCCCAAACAAAGATACATAAATAATGTATTTAAGTACTTCATCACATACAATAATCAATCAATACACATATTCGATGTATTATTCTAACCGTCGTATTCAATGAAGCAGTCCAGGTGATTAGTTTCAATTTTCCCTAATCAACATACAGTGTCTACAACAATCAAGACTATCCTCCACCGATAGCCCAAAGCGGTTATTTCTAAACAAATCATAATATTATCAAACAGATAAATTACCAACATTTTCGTAAGTGAGTGATTTATTATTCCAACCGTCATATTCAACGACATGTTCAATGTGATTAGTTTCAGTTTTCCCTAATCAACATACAGTATCTACAACAATCAAGACTATCCTCCACCGATAGCCCAAAGCAGTTATTTCTAAACAGAAAATAAACACATTAAACTAATATGATATTAACATTTACATATGTGAGTAATAAATTAATCCAACTACACCATTCAATCCCATAATTTCTAAATTTCATTATCCTCAACTCAATTCCACATTTCCCCAAATTAATTATACAAATTAATTTATTACAATAATTAGGGCATTTTTTTTCCCTTTTTCAATATCAACCCTAAGGTTTGATTTCACCAATTTGACAACAATAATACCATTTTCCATTATCTCACATACACATAGGTTTTAATATTTGAAAACCCCTCTTATATAAATTACATAACAAACCCTAACTTCCCCAATATTACCCAACAATACCAACTAATCAAAATGACCAAAGTTTATGTAAAAACTTATAAGATGGAGTAGGGTATCCCCACCTTAAAAGATGAGACCAAATGGAGATGATGAAGAATTTCCAAAGTGCCCCAAACTTCAAGATTTTCGGATCAAAATGATGGGCAAGCCAAACCCACACTTTTTACAAAGGGACAAGGGTGAAAGATCACTCAAACTAGACCAAACCTTAGAGAGAAATTGAAATCTAGAGAGAGGAGCTCTCTAATGGAGGTTTTGAAAAGTCAGAGAGAGAAAAGGCACCGAAAAAGTGATCCAAAAAGTCAAAATTTGGACTGATATACAAACAGGTCCGCTCGAGCGTGGGGTCCCCCACTCGAGCGTCAGACACAGACTCACGCTCGAGCGTCAAAAGCGCCGCTTGAGCGTCAAAAGCGCCGCTCGAGCGCCGGATGCACACTTCCAGAAGTTTTGCAGACGATGGTCCTAGCTCGAGCCGCTCGAGCAGAGGAACAAAATCAAAGGGTCCCGCTCGAGTGTCAAAACTCCCACTCTAGCATCCGATGACCTGTAGAGCAAAATGCTGAGAGATGAAAGACCACGCTCGAGCGTCAAAATGCCCGCTCGAGCGGAGAAGCAAAATGAAGGGCCCGCTCAAGCGTCAAAAGCCCCGCTCGAGTGTGAAGGCCAAAATCTGGGCATCAACTCTAGGTTTCCAAACACAACTAACCTGTTTCAAACCTGCCCAACATAACCCAAGACTCAGATACAAAGAGTAAAGGATAGAAATGAGAATAAGACAACAACCCCTCCACGGAACCGAGTCCGAAATATAGTTAAACAACAAGGAAAAACTGGGATTGCTATATTATGTATGTAGATGAGCAGGCGCGTGACCAGGCCTAAGCTACTGCTTGGAGTTTTGGGTCAGCCAGCCACTGTGCCTCCCGAGGAGGTTCCCTTTTGAAATGTTTAGTTTTGTAACCTTGCTACGGATATTTTGCTTATTTGTACATTGGGCTAAGTTCCCTTTGGCATTATCTGTGTATTTGGGTGACGTAAGACTAATGTATTTATGACGTCACATATATATAAGTTGTTTTGAAGTTTTCTGTCTCATATACGTTAACATAGCTCTATGGACATTGTGTATTTTCTATATTTGCTTCCTCAACCCCTTATTATATATCATTTTGTTAAGAGGCCTTTCGTAATCCAAGGATTACTGGCCGATTACGACGTTAAACCTATAGGGGCGGGTTTAGGTTGTGACAGAGTGGTATCAGAGCACACATTATACTGCACACACGAGTCCACATGAGCTATAGGATGTCCTAGTGAGAGTTAGGGGCATTCCATCTGCATATGTGAGTGTGTATTAATTTCTGTGCATGAGAAAATTGTGTCTGAACATGAACATATGAAATTGAAACGAATGAACTGGGTGTGAATGTTCCGAACACTATGAAAACAATTATTTTTCTATGTTTATTATTCTTTTGTTTACCTACAGCTAATGGAGAATGCAAGAAGTAATGATACAAGTGAATCTTCAGAGGCTCGCATGAGCCGAATGAAACAAATGATTACCGCTCTAACTGAAGCAATAGCACAGCAACAAAGATAACAACCGATGCCTCCTCCACCCCCTCCAGTCCAAGTTGAGTTGGATAATAATAACATCTTCAACCTAACACAAAAATTCATGAAGGTGAAACTGCCAACTTTCTTGGTATTGAACCGTTGAAAGCGGAGACATGGTTACTTGAAATGGAGAAGTTATTTGAAGTGTTCCCCTATACTGAGACTCAGAAGGTTTTATTGGCCACCTACACTCTTAAAGATGAAGCTCGGCGATAGTGGTTATTGATCCGAAATAGTAATGGAAATATGACCTGGGCTCAATTCAATGAGATCTTCTACAACAAGTACTTTTCCCAATGCTTTAGAGACCTAAAGGTTTCTGAATTCCAAGAACTTAAGCAAGGGAAGGTGTCCGTAGTCGAGTACGATGCTAAGTTCATCGAGTTGGCCAGATTCGCTCCTCATATGGTGGACACAGATTATAAGAAAGCACAAGAGTTTGATGGAGGACTAGATATGGAAGTATTTGATCGAGTAGGCATCTTGAAATTGCCTACTTATGTGGAAGTGCTTGATAGGGCATTGATGAAAGAGGCCATACCAGCATCAAAGAAACAAGCTACAACTCCAACAACTGAATGGAGAGGTAAAAGGACGGGATTCAATTTCAAGAAGGGCCGATCATTTCCGTAGAAGCAAAATACTAGATCGTCAAGTAGCTCAAGCCAAAGCAGTGGGTCTATGCTAGTTTGTCCAGAATGTGGAAGGAAACATAGGGGCATGTGTCATTGTGCATCTAGTGCTTGTTTTCGATGCGGCAGGACAGGCCACATGATTAGAGATTGCCTGATGAGACTCGACACGACTACCCGTCCTGCGGCAAGTTTAACTGGATCTACTCCTGCACCAAGAACCAATGTGAGGGCCAATACTAGAGGAGAAACATTGAGACAAGGCTAGGTTTTTCCATAGTACTTGAGGATGTACAGAATACTGAGTCAATGGTGTCAGGTATAATCTCAATCTATGCTCAGAATGCCTATGCTGATTGATTCTGGTTCCACGCATTCACTTGTATCGTATGCTTTTTCTCATAAATTAACTGGACCATTAGAACCTATGAACTGTTTACTATCTATGTCTACATCGTCTGGGGGTTCTATGATATGTGCTTATGTTTATCCGGCATGTGATATTATAATTGGTGATACGACATTGTATATTGATTTGTTGCCCCTGAGCATTGATCATTTTGATTGTATTCTGGGTACGGATTGGTTGACTAAATACTGCGCCACCATTGACTGTGTGAGTAAATTTGCTGTGTTTAAACCACCTGGTATGCCTGAGTTTGTTTTTACTGGAAATGGGGTAGTTCCTCCGCCATAATTGATTTTATTTATGAAAGCCAGGAAATTATTAAGAAAAGGTCGTCGGGGCTACTTGTGTTGTGTGTTGATTGTGTCTTCGGATAGTGTAAGTGTGGAAAATATTTCCATGGTCTGTGAATTTTCTGATGTATTTCCTACTGACATACCCGGGGAGTTAATTAATAAAGAACTTGAGTTCAACATTGATGTAGTACCCGGGACACAACCAATTTCTAAAACCCTATATAGAATGTCCACTTCTGAATTGATATAATTGAAAACTCAACTTTAGGAACTGTTAGACAAGAAGTTTATTCGCCCAAGCACTTCACCTTAGGGTGCTCCAGTGTTATTTGTCAAAAAGAAAGACGAGTCTTTGAGGCTATGAATTGACTACCGTGAATTGAGTAAAGTAACTGTCAAGAACAAGTACCCACTACCCTGAATAGATGACTTGTTTGATCAACTTCAAGGAGCACAAGTGTTCTCTACAATAGACCTTAGATCCGAATATCACCGGCTAAAGGTGAAAGCAGAAGGAATTGAGAAAACCGTTTTTCGAACTAGATATGGACATTATGAATTCTTAGTCATGCCATTTGGGGTAAATAATGCACCTGCAGCATTCATGGACTTAATGAATAAAGTGTTTAAATAATTCCTTGATGAGTTTATTGTTGTGTTCATCGATGATATATTAATTTATTCTAAAAGCAAGGAAGAACATGAAAATCATCTGAGAATTGCTTTACAGACCCTAAGGGAAAAGAAGTTATATGCAAAATTTTCCAAATATGAATTTTGGCTCGACAGTGTGCCATTTCTAGGGCATGTAATCAACAAGGATGGTATCTCCGTTGACCCACAGAAAATTAAAGCTATTGTGGACTAGTCTAGACCGACAAATGTATCAAAAGTTCAAAGTTTTCTAGGACTTGCAGGCTATTATCGCAGATTTGTAAAAGATTTTTCCAAACTTGCTTTGCCACTCACTCAATTGACACAGAAAGCTACACCATTTGCTTGGACTAATCAAAGAGAGACTGCCTCCCAAGAGTTAAAGACCAGGTTAGTAACTGCACCAATTTTGACTTTGCCTAATGGTACTGATGTATTTCAAATTTACAGTGATGCTTCTTACAAAGGCTTGGGGTGTGTGTTGATGCAAAATGGAAAAGTGATTTCTTATGCTTCTCGACAACTCCGCCCTCATGAAAAGAACTATCCAACTTATGACCTTGAATTAGCAGCTATAGTATTTGCTTTGAAAATTTGGCGCCATTATCTGTATGAAGTGACATGTGAAGTGTACACTGATCATAAAAGCCATAAATATTTCTTCACCCAAAAGGAGCTGAACATGAGACAAAGACAATGGCTTGAGTTGATCAAAGATTACAACTTGCAAATCTTGTACCATTTGGGAAAAGCTAATATCGTTGCAGATGCCTTAAGTTGGAAATTCATGAGTAATTTGTCATGTTTGCTCATCGGTCAGAAGGAGTTAATATGTGACCTAGAAAGGAATGAGATTGAAATTGTGCTACGTGAACAAGGTGGGATCTTAGCTGCCATTTATGCTCAACCTGAAATCATTGAAGAGAATAAAGAGAAAAAACTTAAAGATGAATTCTTGAAGAAAAATTTCAATGAAATTGACTCAAAATCGAGTGTAGACACCCCATTTTTTACCGCACTTAAGACTTAGGCGCCACTGATTAATCACTAGATGATGAAAATTGTGCTATGCAAATGTTCGATTTCTTCAGCAAGAAGAGCTTCTAAATCCCAACCTTATACCCCATTTTGGACCAAAACTTTTTTTTAGACCTTAAAACCCTCTCTATCAAAATATTTTTGAAAATGTTTCTACGATGTTCCAAGGCTCGCATTTCATTAAAAGTTGCACTTTTCAGTAAACCGAGCAAGGACAAAGTGGAGATAAATGGAAGAGAGGTAAACTCTTTGAAAAATCTTTTTAAACCTCTTATTTATAGGTTTAGAGTTGAAGAAAATTGGAGGAGAGGAAAGAAAACTAGTTGGGGAGAAGTTGGGCTTTAAATCGTTGAGAAAGAACTGAGTAGCCTACACTAAATCAGGCTTATCCTTTTGTACACTTGGACTTTAGTTGTGAGGCCACCATCATTGGAAAGTGGACTTTCTGGGCTTCAATTGGTACTCAAGAATCTCCTAAAGCCGAGTCCGAATGAGGGAGATGTGGCTATTTGAAGTTAGGCATCAATTTGATTAAGACAAACTGAGAAACCTTTACTAAAATAGGCATATCTCTTTGAACACTTAGAATTTAGATTTGAGGCTACCACCATTGGAAATTAGACTTCCGAGGCTTCAATTTAGACTGAAGAATGACCTAAAATCGAGTCCGGATGAAGGAGATATGGCCGTTTGAAGTCGATCCTAGAAGCAGATTTTTAGTGGCTGGCAGGTGGTCGGCAATTCACACTTCTGGCCTGCCAGCCACTAGTGTAAAACCCAGATATTTTTGCCAGTTGTTTCAAGAAAGCTCCAACTATCCCTTTTTAGATATTTTTGACCTAAGGCTCATGTTTTCTATATATAGAGGACCTTCTCTCTTTGTTTCAGGGTTAGAAACATTTAGGAATGAGGAAATAATTTTGAAAAATATCCTCTCTCTCTCTACAATTCTCTCTCTCTTTTGCAACTTGCATTGCCTTTGACCAAACACTCTAAACCAAACCTAGAGAGCTTCTTGCTAAGGTTATTTGAGCTTGAATTTGAGCTCTTGAAGCACTTGAGAGTGTCAAATTGGTGGTTTATGACTTAAGGGTTCATTCCTCTTCAAGAGGTATACCTTATCTTGCCTTTGTTCCATCTTTACACCACTTGTTTTCCATCTTTTCTACTATTTTTTGAGCTGTTTATAACCTATTTTTATGGGCTGAAACTTTTGATTTAAAGCTACCAAAGGTGGAGGGGTTAACCACCCTTCCTTGAACTTTATTCTCTTAGCTTTTGCCCTTGTGTTTCCCATTCTTTTCTCAACTTTTTTTGAGCTTTTTACCACTGATTTTCAGAGGTTTTCAGAGGCTAAAAAAATGGTTTTGAAGTCCCAAAAATGGAGGGGTTAGCCACCCCTTCTTTGGCTTGTTTACTAGCTTAAATTGCTCCATGTTCTAGCTTATTATTTTAGCTACTTTTATCTTCATTCAAACACATTTTTCAACTATTTTTGGGCTATAAACACTCTGTATTTTTGGGCTAAAACTTGGGTTCTAAGGCCATTAAAGGTTGGGTGGTGGTTTATCCTTCTTTGTACCTTGTTTTGGAGGCCTTTACCCTTGTGTTTCCCATCCTTTTACTATCTATTTTGGAGCTTTTAAATATTGTTTTTCAGAGTTATTTCAGTGGCTAAAATCATGATTTTGAAGTCCAAAATTGGCGGGCTTAGCCTCTCCCCCTTATATTTTGCTTACTAGTCTAGCATGCTCCATATTTTAGCATATTAATCTAGCCGTTTTTAGCTCAATTCCAGCATGTTTTAGGACTGTTTTTAGACTATTTTAGCACTGTTTTTGGTTGATAGTTGCATTTGAGCTTTGCTTTGCATGCTTGTAGTGTAATTGTCCTCATGAGATTGGTGTTCTAGGCCTTAGACACCATCTTATTTGAGTTGATAGCATTTATTTATGCTTTTCTCACTTATTTTCAGCACTAATAATCTCTGCAACCTCCCTCCTTTCTTGGTTTCTGTTTTTCTTTGAGAGTTATTTCAAGCCTCTTATTCTTTTAAGCATGAGATTGAGGTTGTCATGCTTACTGGTTTAGTCCCTTTTAGGGGTTCATTATCAACGGCATGACATCTCTTTCATGTCTTAAGTTAACTCTTGGTTTGGTACTTCACTCCATTAGAGGACTTAAACTCACCCTTTGGACTCAATTTATTAAAGAATGGTTGGTAATTTAAAATGGAGTAATAAAATGGGACTAAAATTGTGCACGATAATAATTTGATTGTGTTCAATCGGACGTTAATTGAACACATGAAAACTTGAGGCATTTCATACTCATTAGTGATGAAATGATTCAAATTTCCAAGGTCACCACTTCCCTTGATCAATTCATGAAAGGGAGGAGGTATGAGTCATATTTTGTTGCATTTATTGAACTTGCACACTTTGGCTCACAAGCCATCATACAATGAAATTGCTTGAGTTGGTGGTTTGTGGCTTAAGTTTACTTCTCCTTTGATTTGTTCGTGAAAAGGAGGAGTAAGTTGTGCAAACAACCCTTGAGA